ATCCATTTTTCTATTTTGAAGTCTTATGCTGCAATCCTAACACAAGGAATCATGGTTACGTGCAGCACACTGTATGGTGGACTTAATGGGCAGCGTGGACTTTCTGGAGTTCCTTCCAGCCAAGAATTCTTCAGGTATAGGTATCAGCCTTGATGGAAGAGGAAGGACAGCAAGCCTGTTGACCTTACCTTGTTCCCGGTGCCAGCACAGCAGATTCCTAGGGCCATGGCTGCTCCGTAGCGGACGTGGGGGTTGTAACTTTCTGACAGCAAGGAAACTACACTTGGACACTGTTCAGGAGTCCTGAAGGAGGAAGAAAAGAGAAAAGCAAAGGGAGAAATTACATTTCACTGAAGTGTAAAGAGCACCACACCTTTAGAGCTGCAAAGTACGGAGCAAAGTCTTGCAACCAAAGGGAAAGGAAGCAACACTTATTTCTGCTAAACATAGCTTGGATTCTGCTGCCGCCTGCAAGAGGCAACTTTGACTAGTAATGTAAATAAGAAGGTGATGGGAACGGAGGTTCAGGGTGAAGGCAAGCTGTACCAGGCAATTCTTTCTAAAGCTAGAACAGGCCTGAGGACGATAAACTGCCTCACACATAAAGCTATTTGTCACTTTGTTCTCAAACAACAGCTCAAAGCTGGCATCAAACGAGCTGCTCTGAAGATAGGGAGTGACAAGGCTTTGAATAAATGAACCTAAACATTCACAGTAAAGGTTTTTAGGGCCCGGACACAAACTACATTTGCCTTTCGATTACTTCGGCAATTATTCAACCAAGTTCAACACACATAAAGAGATCAGAATTTATTATTTATTATAAATATTTGTAGACCACTTGTCATTAGAAACGTATTTCCGTGGTTTACAGCAGTAAAAAGAATGTAATGTACAAAAACAAAATGCACAGTACGGCATACACAGCAGCCCAAAAACTGAAAATTCTAACAGCTGAAGTCATGAGCCATCGAACACCAAAGCAAACAAGGTTTTCAGCAAGTGCCTAAACTGCAGCAGAATCCATGCTTTATACAGTATCTGGGAGTCGGCTATTCCAGTGTATGAGCAGCAGCACCCTAGAATCAGTATCTGCTTGCATTAAATACACACACACACACACACACACACACAGTCAGGTCCTTTAATGAATGGGAGTCTTCAAGTAAAACCTCTTACAGTAGGGGGGAAATGGAATATAATTTGGCATTATGAAAACAAACAAAAGGAGAACATTTAAGGCTACAGCAATGAAGAAACATTAAAATCAGGAACTCTGTAAGCCAGCTGCTTTGCAAAGTATAACATCCCCTCAACCACACTTTCCCAGTACCATACACTAGCCATGAAATCAGCCATGCTAAGGTGTCAAACGAAGATCATGGCCACTGGTCCCATCACCTCCTGGCAAATAGAAGGGGAAGAAATGGAGGCAGTGAGAGATTTTACTTTCTTGGGCTCCATGATCACTGCAGATGGTGACAGCAGTCACGAAATTAAAAGACGCCTGCTCCTTGGGAGAAAGGCGATGGCAAACCTAGACAGCATCTTAAAAAGCAGAGACATCCCCTTGCCAACAAAGGTCCGTATAGTAAAAGCTATGGCTTTCCCAGTAGTGATGTATGGAAGTGAGAGCTGGACCATAAAGAAGGCCGATCGCCGAAGAATTGATGCTTTTGAATTCTGGTGCTGGAGGAGACTCTTGAGAGTCCCATGGACTGCAAGAAGAGCAAACCTATCCATTCTGAAGGAAATCAGCCCTGAGTGCTCACTGGAAGGACAGATCCTGAAGCTGAGGCTCCAGTACTTTGGCCACCTCATGAGAAGAGAAGACAGACCCTGATGTTGGGAAAGATTGAGGGCACAAGAAGAAGGGGACGACAGAGGACGAGATGGTTGGACAGTGTTCTTGAAGCTACGAGCATGCGTTTGACCAAACTGCGGGAGGCAGTGGAAGACAGGAGTGCCTGGCGTGCTCTGGTCCAGGGGGTCACGAAGAGTCAGACACGACTAAACGACTAAACAACAACAAGGTGTCAAAAGGGTTCTCAAAGGTCTTCTAGTTCAAACCCATGCGATGAAGAAGACTGGCTCTCCGACAGCATCCTTGAGAGGTGGCGACTTGACCTCTTTCTGAGGCAGCCTGATCCCTCCCGTCAATTTCATCTACACTGATTTCCTTGAAATTTGAACCCACAGGTCTGGGCCCTACCTTCCTTTTGGAGCAAATTATTGATCCATCATTTAAATCCAAACCTGAAGGTTGCCATTGTATTATTTCATAGAATCATGGAATCACAGAGCTGGCAGGGATCTTGAGGGTCATCTAGTCCGACCCCCTGCGATGCAGGAATATGCAGCTGTCCCATATGGCAACTGAACCTGCAACCATGGCGTTATCAGCACCAGGCTCTAACCAACAGAAACAGTCTCTTCTCCAAGCCAAACGCTTTCCATTCTTTCCTTACAAGGATTTGAGTCTCCAGGGACCTCACCATTTTTGTCACCCATCTTTATCAACAAACGTGCCCATTCTTCTTAAACTGTAATTGCTCAGAAGCGGAAAACAGCAATTCAAGTCCTGCCCTTTATAAATGAACGTCCTTCCCCACCCTCTGAGCTAACCATAACCCTGCTTCATCATGAAACTGTTTGTGCATGATGTTTTGTCTTTTTCCTGAGAATTATACTTTAATTCAAAGGAACACTTGTTCTTGGAAAGTCGAGTGAGCATCCCTGTTCCAGAATGGAGTGATATTTCAAACACGTCCCTTGGGACTTCTCAAATCAAATCCTATCACTTGCTACCCAGAACCCAGAGTCTTACAGCATTCAGCTAAGGCAGCCTTTCACCACCTGTGGGTCGCCAGATGTTGTTGAACTACAACTCCCATCGCCCCTAGCTAGCAAGGCCAGAGCTCAGGGATGATGGGAGTTGTAGTCCAACAACATCTGGGGACCCACAGGTGGAGAACCGCTGAGCTAAGGCATTTATTATGGCATAAGCTTCTATGGACTCATTTGCCTTCTGAAAATATTGAAGGCACAAAGCTTTTCCTCTGTGAAAGAGTTAACACTTTGACAGGGGCAGCAACAGCACATCCACACGCATCACAGTGGCAAAGAGCCGACCCCAACATGTAAGAGGCAACCGCAGACTTTCAAGCACGGTGCAAACATTTAATTTTCACTCCAGCCAGAAATCTAGCCCCTTGCACACGCTAAAAATAGCTATTCTTCAGACGCACAGGACCGATAATGGAAATTTCCAAAACAAATGTACTTATTGAAAGCCACCTGCAGAATACCAAACTCCTCACAGGAGGAAGGGTGAATTTCCTGTTGCCACAATTAGAAATGGAGGGATGCGAACCTATTTTGCAGTAGCCTCACGGCGTCTTAATGGCAGCTGTCTCAACAGCGGCACAACCTGGATCTTTACAAGGATGTCAGATGAAAAGGACAGCTTTAGCCCATAACACTCCAAATGTACAAAAGTAGTGTTATCTGTCAAGGATGGCATTATCGTTAAGTGTATCTGCTTCCAAGGCAGCTATTCTACATTCAGTGTAAGAGACCACCCGTTCCTCAGGGACCCTTTCTACCTTCCTTCTTGTTGTATGCTGATGAACTCCTTTGCACCTGACAATTCCTGGCTTTTAGAGAAATAACCGGCAGCAGGTGATGGGGAAGACCCTGGAGAGTCCCTGTCAGTCTGAGGAGTCGTATCTGAATTAGATGGGCAGATGGCATGGCTGGGAACGAGGTTCCTTTAAATGATGAGCAACCTGTCTGTGCCCCAGAGGATTCTGGAAGTATGTTCCAGGTGTAACTCAGACAAAAGTGGTTTTCTTAAACAAGAAATCGCCACACGCTGCCATTTTCTAGGCCAAGCAACAGGCCCTATGCAAAACATCCCCAAACTGGTTACCTTCCTAAGTTTTGTACTATAACCCCCACCAGCCCCAGCCCTCTGGAGGGCACCAGGCTGCAAGAAGGCTGTTCTCCGTGATTTAGAAATGTCAGTTTGCTGGTTGTTGTTCAGGATGCACTAGACTGAAGTAATGGGCAGCTCTTCAGAGACAAAATGGCACCCCAAGAATGTAATCCCATTTGGAAGGCAGCTAAGTCAGTAACCAACCACCACATTTTGTTGCAGTGAGTTCCTTAAATTAAGCATTGTGTGAAGGAGCCTACTATTGCTTTAATCCATTACAATGTAGTAGGTCCCCCCCCCAATGTATTTCCATATGCACTGTGCCAAATACGCACGACTTGTACCCTGAACCAAAGTTTTTGTGACTCACAAAATCACAGCAATAATTTGAGAATCTACTTGGTACTCCGTTCTCTGGGGGAAAAAATGCCGCAACAACTGCACATGCACACCAAACTAAATCCTAGCTGGTTGAGCCAGAATGCTTGACATATTAGCCACAACTTTATCTTTAATACACAACATCTGTTGGGAAACCAAGTTTTACACCTTCAAAAACACTGATTAGTTCACCTACTTCCAGGTAATGCACGTAAGATTCATTTGCAAGCAATAGTACACAGGAAAGCCATAAACTCACCCAAGATTTTAGGCACCTCCCGGCCTCAGTTCCCTATTTGTAAAATTGAAGCCCAACTGACAGGGCTGCTGGGAAGATTAATTAAGCACAGCCTGTGATCGACTTGTGCACTTGAAGCACTATGTAGATTACAGATAAATTGTCGTACAGTGTTGTTTCCCCTGTATTTATGGAAGACGTAAAAAGCTCCTACTACCAGGGAGCACCTTTTGACTGCCGTGAGAAAGGGAACAGTGTATTTTTACACGCTCAAGTGAAAAGGACCGGCGTTGATTGGATCAACCCATTCAGAGTTGGGGATGAGAGTCGTGCGCTTCAGGTTTGGAAAGCTGGATGGCGGGGGTGGGAGGAAATAACCTTGCATAGCTCTTCTCCAGATGCAAAAGAAAAGAGGGAGGGGAGAGGATATCTTCTCATTTGTTGCTTTGCGTTTTAAGCACTTGGAGCTGGGTGCACTGGAATGAGTCAATCAACAGATGATAGCAGCAGAGCATACGCGTTCAGAGGAAGCTGCACAGAAGGCGAGAGGCAGAGAGGAAGGGCTGGTCAGCGCTCAAGGGACATATTAAGTATGTAAAAATTACCAAAAGAAAACGGCAGCATGACAGAGGAGGGAGGGAGCCATCGACTCGAGCCATTCTCCTCCTCCTCCTCTGGGCTTGACAAGAGAAAGAAATCAGCGGCGTAATGGCAAAGTGAACCCGACTGCGGTGGGAAATTCAATCGCAAGTGTGCGTGGCTGGCTTGGAAGAAAGCAATGCAATTAGAGGGAGACATTCGAAGCACCCAGTGTGCGGCAAATAAGGAACACACGTCCTCCGAGGAAACGGATCCAGCTCAAGGACTAGGGAAATTCCGCTAAAATCCAGGGAGTGGATAAATAAGGTAAGGCGTCAGTCGTTTTAAAACTGTTAAAAGGCAAGAATGGTAACGTGCCCTTTGTATATCGAGAAACGCCATAGAAAAAAATTGAATGCAAATACAGAAATCCAAGGGGGCCACTTTCGTGTGCTTGTTTATTAGAGAGAAGGAATTGGTAAAGGTTCCTCTCAAAAGGGATTTAGAAGTCTGGTCTGTCTGGTCAAATAGTTCATGAACTGTAACTCCGGTAAGATTATTATTTGCGGTCTTCCCATTGAACAAGTAACCCCCCTATAGTTCTAGCCTGCAATCACCTGCAATAAGTACTGAGTTTCTTCTGAGTAAAAATGAATAGGATTGCACTATTAGCTTAAAAATAAATAAATCCTAAATTGATTTTATCTGCCCTTCCACCTGATGAACAAGCGGGCAGGCACATAGTAAAGAAGCCTGCATCAGTTTACAAGCTGTAGTTCTCAAGGGAAATGGAATTTACGGAGAGAAAGAACTGGGAATTTTTCTCATAGCTCAATTACTAAAAAGGGGAGCAAAGCTGTACCCAAACAGTATAAATCTCCGGAGCTGTCCCCCCCCCCCCCAATTTCAAGTTTTTTGCAACATCGCAACCTTTAAAACTCCAAACTCGGATGGTATAAATTTTCAGCATATGCCACCTTGCCACACCTCTAAGTTCAGTGTAACAATTCTAGCCCATCAACAAAAATAAAAACATGACATGTGTATGTTCTATTATGTAGGGCGAGCTCTTCAGCACAGGAGGAGAGGCACTGTGCGAGGACACAAGGATCTAATTCATTACCCAACTCTTCAACATTCATCTTTGAAGCTTTTCGCTTTAGGGAACGGTCTGACCATTGGGACCTATAATAAAGAGATGGATCCAAGGCAGCGTACTCATTTTTAAATACTCTTTGCGTGCATCCAAGAAGGACCACGACATAAAATTGCACAAGAGAGAGAAGACCCTCATGTGGTAGCAGATGAGTAGTTTACGATGCTGGTCTTTCATCAGGACCGCACTGGGCCGGAGAGGAAGACCAAGCTCCTAGAAGTTACAGTATGCCCCAGTAGTAGTAACACATGCTCTCCGAACAAATCCTACCGGGTGCTGAAATGGCCTTGCCTGTGAACATGTCTGGATCCGGCAATGGATCTGCACAGCCAATCACAGCGGAGGGGACCATGTTGCGCTGGGCAGCTCTGCTCATTCTGATGGTCATCATCCCCACCATTGGGGGGAATATTCTCGTCATACTGGCCGTATCCTTGGAGAAAAAGTTGCAATATGCCACCAACTACTTCCTCATGTCTCTGGCAGTGGCCGATTTGCTAGTTGGTTTGCTTGTGATGCCGATAGCACTTCTTACCATCATGTTTGGTAAGTACTGGCCTCTGATCCTCTGAAGTTATGTGTTCTCTCTCTCTCTCTATATATATGTATGTATGTATGCATGCATGCATGCATTTTAAAGCACTGACCAAATTAAGAGCTTTCTGGTGCCTTAAGCCCCTTTGCAAAATGCAGCAAATTACTCTACCTCTTTCATTCTTCCAGACCAATGCTCAGGGAAAATCAGAACTACTGAACACCACTCTGAAATAGCTCTTCTGCCAAGTGGGCAGCTATGTTATAACACACAGCAGCGATAGTTTCATAGTTTAAATGAAAATATACACAGTTCCTATGAAATCAGAAAAAGTTTTTTTTTAAAAGTTTTTTTACATAAACTAGAAACATTCATCATGATCGCCACCAATGGGCATCGTTCCATCCATTTCAAGAAAGCCCCTTTTCTGCCTCTGTAGACACAATGATTCATAACACAGACCATATGTGTGATATAAGATACTAACATCATTTAATCTCCAGCTTCAGTGAAATAAAAGTTCATTTGAGTGCAATCAGTTTGCCTTTTTTTGCTTTCTGTAGTTAAGACAGACTCTAAGTCAGTATCCTAGTGATCTATGTGAAATTCATTTAAGCAGTTCAATGGGGAATTTTCAGTAAACGTCTTCCTTAACCTCATATTCTGCTAGATTTCCAAAATTATTTTTTTCTGCGTCTCCTAAAAACAAAATATGGATCTACAAATGAAAGTCGGGGAAGTGTTCAGTGGCATGGTTCAAAGCCGGTTGAGATGAGGTTGTGAAACCATGGTCATACTCTGATGGCAGTTTGTCTGAATTCTCTGATATGTCACAACCAAGGGGTGAAGTGGAAGGCCTTCGCCTCCTTGCCACGACATGGGATGTGGTCTGATTTCAACTCCTGGTCTTGGTGAATCAGCTCCCATGCAAGGTGTCTTCTTGTACATACTCTTGTGGTAGATAGGACTACTCAGTCACCTGCACAGCAGTTAAATCTCCTTAGTTCCAGTCCTCGTTTCACAGCCCATCACAAACAGAATTTGAAATTCTATTAGCAGCTTGGAATAATTGACAAGAGTCCATTTAACGCAGGGAACTGGTCGAATTATCTAATGTACAATTACAAGTGTGCATTGGTATGGTACCCCACTGGTCCAGTGGAAATGCCCCTACATTCAATAGTCCTAACTGTACCCATGTACTACTGATTCGTAGCAAGAGTCAACAGGGAGACTAGAATGCAATGCTACATCAGTAAACAGTGCCAGGGGACAGGATGCAGAAAGCTCAAATTGCGGAAAGCATGGATTGTCTCATTAGTTCAATTTTCTCTCCGCATACGCACAAAAAGGCCCTATGACAATTTGGCCTCTATGAATTATCATCCAGCAAGGAAAAGCGATAAAATCTACTGAGTGGATACAAAACCCACAAAACTATGGTTCAAAGGAAATGAACCAAGTGACATATTATGGCCGCAGTTTTCAAGATGGAAATAAAAAATAAAGACATAAACAGTCCTTATGCTTGGAAGGAAAAGCACGAATGTCCCTCCAGGTACAAGGATGATAAAACCAAGATGGGTTAGTTGATTCTTGCCCCATGTCCTTGTGGAGATCAACTGAATTTATAAATGTAGTGTTCAAATAACACTTTATACGGTTCAAAGCCCTTCACATATAACACCTTGTCATGATCCTTACAAATGACAAAGGCAGCCCAGTATTATTATCCCCTTATCAGTGGGGTGGGGTGGGGAGGTTCTGGGTGAAGCTGGTTAATGACTTCATGGCAGAAGGCAAGAATTAAATCGGGAACTTTTCTGTAACAGCCTCTTAAACTACTATACTACCCAAGGGAGTAATTGTGAGGGCAAGTCATGAGGAGGAACCTTTGAAGAAGCAACGCAAATAAATCCTACATTAAATAGGAAGCTACTGCCATATTTTCTACTGCTACCCAGCGCACTTAAATTACACTGGCTAAGATCATAGCAAATACATCGCTCAAACTAAATATGCACAGAGGCAGGACTAACTCAGACAAGCAAGTCTTGGCCCTGGAGTCATTATAAATCAAGGTTTCCCAGACTTGGGTCTCCAGCTGTTTTTGTACTACAATTCCCATCATCCCTAGCTAGCAGGACCAGTGGTCAGGGATGATGGGAACTTCCAGCTCCATCTCCTTCAAGACTGCTTTCTTCTAATCCAGATACAAGAGTGATAACATTTTATTTTGTAGTGGTGATCCTCGAGAAGATGTGAGCATTCTGAGAGGTTCACTATGATCAGGTCTCTTGAGCTACAGAGATCTTCATAGCTTGCAGGATTTGCCATACTGCTGTGAAGCTGAGCAACATTAAATGTAAGCACTAAGAGTTAGAAGAAGTAAAAGAGCAAGTGATTAGCGACCAGCAAAAAACCGCAAAAGGATTACAAACTCTCTCCTCTCAAGTTTACTCAGGGCCAAACGACACAAGATGCCGTTCGCACATTTAGCAGTCCTGCGAGTGGCTAACTTGGCCTTAAGCTTCCTAACAATTTTGCTTTTCTGCTCTCGTCTTCTTTTATTATTGAAATTTAATCTTCCATTAATCCTGAGTGAAAACTACTAAAACCGAAGTTTAAAAAATGCAAGGAATCTTAATTTAGAAGCCAACAAAAAGGAAGCTCATGTTGCAGGCTGCTTCAAAGGGAGGGAAGTTGGGGATCGTAATTAAATAGGTGTGGCAACATTATTTGCAGGCACTCTGAAAACACAGCTGACCCTAAGCTGAATTCACATCCATAAGATGTCTACTTAGCCGCAAAAGTTGTGTATTTCTGCTTCCTCGGCAACTGCTAGAAGAGAAAATTCACACCAGAAGCAAAAAAAGGCCCTGGACTGGGTGGACTGAAGCAAGCACACAGCTGAGTCTCCTAGAAGGCTAGTAATCCCTTAAAAATCCATTAGCCAGATAACTGTTTAAATAGTGTCAGCTGTGGCCAAGTCGGCCAATAAGGCCCATCCCTCCCTGCATCTAAGACTTCTGTGCTTCCACAACTCAACACATCACACAAACACAATTCCTTTCATTTCTGACAGTTGATACGGAAGATCTAAGAGAGGAAATGTGTGTGCCTCTTGACTCTATTCACTCTTCTAGGCCAGTGGGATTTAAGTGAATTCAAGGAAACTCTGGGGTTCTTTATAAACTTATCAAGAGTTCCTAAATGAGACTAGTAAATGGTAGGCAGGCGTCTTTGAAAGGCAGTCTACCATCATTTCAATGAAGATCTGATTGGAAAATTTAGGCGACGCAATTTGTAATGCACATGATCAACAAAGAGTATTAGGATTTGCAGGCTGACATCTATAGCGCCAAGGAGTTTGGCTTGCCTGGGCCAGAGAATAAGACATTTCCCTACTTAGCAGATGTCACTGGGGCAGTATAATCACTTAGCATTGATATAGTGCTTTAAAATGTTCAAAACCCATCATGTAAATTGTTGCAACTATCCTGTAAGGTAGATCAGTGTTTGCATATCACAAGGCAAGGTGCTGAAAGTAAAAGAATGCAGTTTGTCAAAGGCTGCCTACTGAATTCATGGCCAAGGTGAAATTTGCACCAGGGACTTCCCAGTTCACCGCTCAGATGCTACACCGCTACCACTGCCTCCTGTAACTCCTCCTCTTCATTATTCTCATTTTACAGAGAGGAAAGAGTTAATATTATACACGGCCAAGAAGATCACTCAACAGCCATGATGTGATCTGGGCCAAAGACAGTCCAATGCCTTATTCACTGGGCCACCAAACACTGAAACACCCACACTCAAATTGCAGCCAGCACTCTCAATATCAAGCATTTAAAGTCACTTTTCTTAAACACACAACACGCACACCGCCTCTCTCAAAACTGAGCACAAAAGGAAGAAAAAGCAGAAGTTTAGCGGGAGAAAAATCCACATTCTCTGATGTAAGAGGGCGAGAGAGGCTATTTTGCTACAGCGCAAAAATTCTCTCCTTGCAGGAATGAGCAGAAAGGAGGTAACGTCTAAGCAGCACTGCACAAAGGAGAGAAAACATTGAAATCATTCATTGGAAATCTAGCGAGCCAGGAGCCATCATCCTCTTCACATGTAAAGCGAACACCTGCACACAAAAAGGCCATACATTACTTGGTCTCAACAACATTAGTTCAAGGCACAGGAAAACGCTTGCCTTGCTAGATAGAATCTCGGGATTTCAAGCACACAAATTTAATTGGTTACTTGAAGCTTTTATTTCTTCTGGCACGACTGTGCTCTGGGAACGAGAGATTTTTTTTTAAAAAAAGCTAATAAAAACTCAAAGGAAATCTTTAAAAAGGTTTGCTCAACATTTCATGGTCTATTCAACAAGGCATCCGCTTTCTACTTCATTTTAAATGTTATCAATTCTCTTTTTAAACAAAACCCAAAAAAAGCGCTCCAGGGTTTTTCCCTCTGCTATTACTATTAATACCCCACAAACCACAGAGCGGACTTCTTTAAAAATAAGACTGCGGAGGGCTGGCTGCTGCAGGAAGAAGCAGCTGCCACGTGGTTTGGGCTCCACAGCATCCCACCATATTCCAATAAAGAAACAGCCATTTAACACAGGTGCAGAGCCACTCACACAATGCTCCCCACAATGTCGGGACTGTATGGTTTCTGTGTAGGAATTGGATGGCTTGTGCAGGGAAGCTATAGACACACCGGAAGCCTCCCTCAAGGTAAACCAGGCTACCTGGGGAAAGGGGGAGGTGGGACAGTAGTTGTTGCTTATGGATCCAAAATGAAAAGGCAGCCGGGAAGAATTGCATTCAGATCTGGTTTTGCTGTATTCTGCTTAACAAAGCCGTAGGCAGCTTAACTAGGTTTGACCCAGTAGTAGTTGATTCATTATCCTTGTCAACCTTAGTATCTGAAGGAGCGTCTCCACCCCCATTGTTCTGCCCAGACACTGAGGTCCAGCTCTGAGGGCCTTCTGGCGGTTCCCTCGCTGCGAGAAGCAAGGTTACAGGGAACCAGGCAGAGGGCCTTCTCAGTAGTGGCACCCGCCCTGTGGAACACCCTCCCACCAGATGTCAAAGAGAACAACAACTACCAGACTTTTAGAAGACATCTGAAGGCAGCCCTGTTTACGAAAGCTTTTAATGTTTGATGTATTACTGTATTTTAATATTTGATTGGAAGCCGCCCAGAGTGGCTGGGGAAGCCCAGCCAGATGGACGGGGTATAAATAATAAATTATTATTATTATATTCTTATTATTAGTAAAGCTGAGAATCCTGGCAACTTGTGTTGGCCCCACAGATTAAAAAAAGAGGGCACACACAATCAGCAAGGTCCAAAATCTCAAGATTATGCCCAGAGTAAAAAAAACCACTTTATTTTTACCTTTGAACAGTTATGCCCCCCCCAAATGTATTCGTTTTTATTGCAATTTAACCAAGAGATGTCATTACGCAATCCCCAAGAAGGACACAGCTAATTCACAGCAAGGGCCTCTATAAAGAAATCTGGCTTAGAAACCAAACCTTGTACCGTTAAGTAAGGAACAGGAGCTGGCTACTACAGGAATAGTGATGCTGATGGATTTGAATATGACAAAATGAAAGGGGGACAATTTATTATTAGCAGGTGCACAGGGCTGAAGAAGCCCTATTTAGAAATCAGGATTCCGAATAATGAAAAGGAAAACCATGTGTTGCAACAAGATGCGGTGTTTTCACCTGATCGCCGCCACCACAGCGAAGAAAAAGTCACCTAATTGTAAAGCAGCATATGTACCAGAATTGTTGCGCCCCAAAAACAGAACATTACACCTCTAACGCTTAACAGATCACCAGTTGCTGCTGCCCCTTTTTGCTTAATAAGCCCACAATCCACTGATTTTTAGGCCACTGCCTCAAAGGCATTGAAGACAGGGCAATTGCCCTCTTCAAGAAGCCTTGATTAATCAATAGGTTAAATGTGCTTACATCTGTGGTTGAGAAAGGCTTCTATAGAATAGATCCCACCCCACATCTACCGATGCAAACATTCATCTTAAAAGCAGCTCCTCCAGTGCAAGAGAGGTGGAAGAAGACCTCTTCCACAATGTCACCTGCAGTTTTTAAAATTGCTTGTACTAAAAATAACTTTTTAAAAACTCCTGCCTGATTAACTGGAGGGGGTTATACAGTGGTGCCCCGCAACACGAATGCCTCGCAAGACGAAAAACCCGCTAGACGAAAGGGTTTTCCGTTTTTGAGTTGCTTCGCAAGACGATTTTTCCTATGGGCTTGCTTCGCAAGACGAAAACGTCTTGCGATTTTTTTTCGCTCCCCCCCCCTTTTTCTAAGCCGCTAAGCCTTTAATAGCCTTTTAGCCGCTAAGGCTTTAATAGCCGCTAAACCGCTAATAGCGCTAATCCGCTAATAGGGTTGCTTCGCAAGACGAAAAAACCGCTAGACGAAGAGACTCGCGGAACGGATTATTTTCGTCTTGCGAGGCACCACTGTAGTGTCATGAATTCATTTACTAAATGTTGCACCCTCTTCCACAGGGTGCACCCCCCCCCAAAGAACAACCCTAACCCTTTTCTACTCTTTTTCAGAGATTGCATGGCCTCTTCCGCGGGAGCTGTGCCCCGTCTGGCTGTTTCTGGACGTCCTCTTTTCCACAGCCTCCATCATGCATCTGTGCGCCATCTCACTGGACCGCTACATTGCCATAAAAAAGCCAATCCAAGCGAGTCAGTACAACTCACGGGCCACAACACTCATCAAAATCACAGTGGTCTGGCTGATCTCAATAGGTATGTGGCAAGCATCAAAGGGAGAGTGTGCTTTTCATTTGCTAACAGCTGGTGTGAATGCATGGGTGCCAGAAAAGTGGCGCTGCGTGAATGGTGAGCAGCTTCTGATGAGGGACACCAGCTAGCCTTGGTTCTCTTCCTCGAATGAAATCACTAAAACTGAAGTGCAGCTGGGATCGAAAGCAAAACAGGCATAATCAGAGTTGGAAGAGAACCTGAGGATCATCTCATCCGACCCCCTGCAATGCAGGAATATGCAGCAATCCCGTATGGGGATCGAACCTGCAACCATGGCATTATCAGCATGATGCTCTAACTGAAGGTGGCATTCCCAGTGCCTGGCCAGAAATTTCATGCGATCTATCTATCTCGAGGGCGAATGTTCCTTCTGTACCAAAAGAAGGCTCAAAGCCCTAACACGCCATTCAGATAGCATCTCTGAACTCAAACTCCTATACGTTAGGGATCAAAATACACAATACCTTACTGTCCAACAGAGCAAAGCATGGAAATTAATAATAATAATGATGATGATGATGATGATGATGATGATAATAATAATTTGTATACTGCCTTGATCTGAAGATCACAGGGCAGTTCGCGACATAAAAATAAGAACACAAAGTACATACAAAAAGAACCCAAACCAATAATACCTCCCCCTCCAACAAACACATTACCATTATTAGTTTGTTGGGAAATTGCTTAACACATTTCAGTTGCAAAAGCTGGATTAAAGGTAAAGGTAAAGGGACCCCTGACCATTAGGTCCAGTCACTCTGGGGTTGCGGCGCTCATCTTGCTTTATTGGCCGAGGGAGCCAGTGTACAGCTTCCAGGTCATGTGGCCAGCATGACTAAGCCACTTCTGGCGAACCAGAGCAGCGCACGGAAATGCCGTTTACCTTCCCGACAGAGTGGTACCTATTTATCTACTTGCACTTTGACGTGCTTTCAAACTGCTGGGTTGGCAGGAGCAGGGACCGAGCAACGGGAGCTCACCCTGTTGCGGGGGTTTGAACCGCCAACCTTCTGATTGGCAAGTCCTAGGCTCTGTGGTTTAACCCAAAGCACCACCAGCATCCCACAAATGTTGGATTGCTACAACAGAAATCACAATGCCCCAGGCACAGAGGAGCTTGAATTTAGTCACTACCACTAGCCCCAATGAGGAGCAGTTCCTTGTGGGTGGGAATCTGACACCACCTCCAATTCTTTTGGATCTAAAAGAGAAGTGAACTAGCTGGGTCAAATGCCCACCGACAGACACACTAAACAAAAAAAGATAAGGACAGAGGAACAGGAGGGTGGGGTGCAATTGGGAACTTAACTGTTCAGAGGTAAAGGAAGAGAGGAAACTATGACTGTGTTGTCAAAAGTACGCAAAGCAGAAAATAATAAATGAGGTGCAAATGAATAGTTTATATCATGCTTCTCCGTGCATTCTGAACTCTCTGAAGGCACACCGCCCGTTGTTAATGTCTCATTGGTTTGTACACAAAATGTCAACTCCAGATGTAAGACAAATGAGGAGCGGGGGGGGGGGGGAGTGAATCAATGACTCCAAACTACTGGCGAGAAATGGCTCCAAAGAACAGGAAGCACTCATCATAGATTAACCGTAAAACAAGCGATGCAAAATATGCCCAAAAGAGTGTTAAGAATAAGAATGATTTTAAAATCAGTTATGTTGCAAACAATTGAGAGGTGAAAAAAGACACCACCCACTTAATCAATGACTACACCCGTGGGGTTTTTCCCCCCAAAAGGCACCACTTCCTACATTAGTAAATTTAAGAGCTTCCCGCAATCAAAGGAAACAATAGGCAACTTTTGAAGTAAAAAAAAGGAAATGGCTAATGAGGCAAAACTATTTGAACGTGACCCTTTAATGCCAGTTTTTAGCAGCATCAATCATACGCAGCACTTATCCCACGTCTTATTACTCATTAAATGTACTCAGGCTCTGAACCGCATCTTCTCAATAATTTCAGGGGAGCTTAAAAACTGATTAGCAGATGTCTAGCTATGGACTCTCAAAATTCAGAGGCAATAGGCTTCGTTGGGCTTCTTCAAGGCATCTAGATGCTCACTGCAGCAACCAAGATGTTGGACTGGATGGGCCCCACTGTCTATTGCTTTGGTTTGTTCTTGTTTCTATTATGTATTTTGTGTTTTCATCTTGCGCTTTTATGCTGTGAACCACCCCAAGATCTTCAGCTGAAGGGTGGCATAGAAATTAAATAAGTAAACAATCCAGCAGGACTCTTTTCATTGCAACGTCTCTGCACTGCTTTTAAACAAGAGAACAAAAGGGACTTAAGGATGCTTGTCATTTCTATAGCACATGAAGCGATAGCCTAAGGTACAGCAAATCCCTAAACTTTATAAAGCCGTGGCGGCAGCACCAAAAATTGAAAGCTTCATCGCTGACCCGATTACTTGAGTGCTGCAGGGCCGAAGGCACCAAGTTTTGCTTGGTAGCTAAGTCAGCTCTTAAGAAACCACAAATATGTTCAACAGCAGCCGTTGTTAGGAGGCAGGAAGATTCGCTAGGCCAGAGAACTCAAAGCATCCTGTGCTTGCAATTTCAGGTCAGGGAAGGAGAACGGAAAAATTAAAACCAATTGCCAGCATTTCCCATCTTTCCCGCCATCTTGAGACAATTGTGCTCAGCTGCATATAGCTCCCCATCCATGCTGTCCTCCCGCCTGCGGAAAGAAGGCTTGTGGGAAGTGGGTCACCACTGCAAACGCAACACGTGCTTTATGTCAAACACAAGTGATCCAAGAAAAATTGTTCTATTTGTTGCCCAAGAAAGGATATGGGGCACAAAACAGCCAGTGTTGCTCCAATCATGGGCTAGAAGGAGTCAAGAGGCAGAATTAATCTCATAGGAGTCACCTCCCTCAACCTGATGCTTTCCTATTTTGAGGTACTATTTAGCTACTTGATCTGTTGTGCTTTGGAGACATCTCCAGTTCAACTGCTTTGAGGGCTTCTGTTCAATCAAGAGGCATATAAATGTTATTAAATAAAGAGGTTCTCTCTAACGGTGGGCTTGCAAAGCTCCTGTAATTTCATTTGCTCCAATGTTCGGAAGCCAGTCTCAGAACATGCTCCTTATTATGCACTGTGGTGCTTTCGGTTCCACTTCCAGGTTGAAGCTTACTAGATTTCTGCTTCCCCTACAGGCATTGCGATCCCGATCCCGATCCGCGGCATAGAAGAAGGTGTTGAAAACTTCCCAAACTTCACCTGTGTGCTGACACCAGAACGCTTTGGAGACTTCATGCTCTACGGTTCAGTGGCTGCCTTCTTCGTCCCGCTGGCCATCATGGTGGTCACTTACTTCCTGACCATCAGAGTTTTGCGCAAGAAAGCCTACTTGATCAACAAACTGCCCCAGCGCTTTACCTGGAGCACAGTGTCGACGGTGTTCCAGCGGGATATGACGCCCGGATCATCACCGGAAAAAGTGGCCATGTTGGACAACTCCAAGAAGGACAGGCCTTTGCCTAACGGGAATGAAGAACTGCTAATGCGCAGGATGTCTACCGTCGGGAAGAAGTCGGAACAGACTATTACCAATGAACAGCGGGCCTCCAAGGTCTTGGGTATCGTATTCTTCCTCTTTTTGTTGATGTGGTGCCCATTCTTCATAACCAACATCACTTCCGTTCTGTGCACGTCCTGCCGCAAGGAATTTATCCAAACACTTATGGAGATATTTGTCTGGATAGGGTATGTTTCGTCAGGCGTGAACCCACTGGTCTATACCCTCTTCAACAGGACATTCAGGGAGGCATTTGGCAGATATATCACTTGCAATTACCAGACCTCAACGCCTGGATCCGCCATTCGGAAGTGCTCCAGCAGGCTCTCGTTCAGAAATTCCGTGGCAGAGAACTCAAAACTTTTCATGATGCACCACGGAATGCGGAATGGGATTAATCCAGTCATGTACCAAAGCCATCGGCTTCGCACCTCGCCCATCCAGTCTCCGTCGGCCATACTGCTGGATACACTGCTACTTACAGAGAATGAAGTTGGTAAAACAGAAGAACAAGTCAGCTATGTATAGCTGAAGAGAAAAGACAGGCCATACCCTAAACTCACTGATAAATGCCCAGTATGTATATGTGGTTCCCATCTGTTATTTATACAAGTCCAAATCATAGTTTTATCAACTGCTCTCCTCTAAGAGTAGAGGCTTCTCTCACTCAAAGGGCCACCTTCATTTATTCTTATTTATCAGCAATTTATCCTACCAAAAAAAAAAAAAAAGTATTTGAGCACAGTGGTTTACAAAACAGAGGTGTTCAAATAAATACAATTATGGTAACTATCATGTCTCAGACATTGGATTCCCCATCCCGTCTCTTCAAAAGGCACATTATTGCTAGGATGTCTCTATATAAGGATTATATAGGACCATCCTATAGAGCGACATTTTACATTAAGAGGGAAAGGCCTGCACTTTCAAACTCAAGTTATGCACTTCCATGAAAGGGTGATTAAGCTTGGAAAGGAAGCGCACATCTCAAGACCATTTAGGAATCCTCCCCACCCAACTGAATACAGCTGTTTACATGGGGGCTAGTTAGAAAGGAGATGATCATAACCTTCTCTGCTATTATTGTCCCATTCCCCCACAAAAAGAATTCTATCCAATAAAGCTCAATGGTGCAATTTGAATAACATCAATGCATGGAACTGCATTCCAGTCGAGGTCAGAGAGGTGTCCTCCCTACTGAAAGCTTCTTTTTTAATCCCACCGGCATTTCCATTGGAATTTAATTTTATAGTTTTAACCATTTTTTTGTATTGTATCTTTGCAAACTGCTTAGAGACTATTGTAGTTAACAGGTATATAAATTGTTTAAATAATAATAATTATTAATATTAATAAATTAAGAAACCACACATATTTGTTTAATTTCCATAATTCATTCTGCCTCCTTGTTCCCAATTACTCATTTCCAGCTAATAGCACTAAGAAATTTCACGCTGATCCCACGACTTCCACAATCAGTTATCGCGTGACAGTAACACCTTGATCAGTCTAAAGAAAAGGCCCATCTAGATTGTTCTGTTTCAAACAGCACCCAGCCGAAAAAGTCACATCAAAGGGCCTTACATAAAGAGTCCAGTAGAAAAGGGTTCTGCTTTGAACTGCAGGGGTTGGACTAGATGACCTTTGGGTCCCTCCCAGCTCTACGATTCTATGAAATAATAGCGACCAACGGAGGCCAATAGTGAAATTCAAGGGCTGGGATTGAAAGAGTTGCTCAGACTCACACAAGAGGTTAATACTTCTTTGACACCTATAGCACAACCTGCTTTTGAAACTTTCCTCAATTTCAAAAGCAGTTTGTTGTGCAGTCCCTCTTTTGGAGGCGGGAAAGCTAAATGAGGAAAAACAAATCTAAATTCTCTGTCTCTCTCACATCCATCCACCCACCCACCCACTTTGGCTCACTGAATTGAGCTTTTGTGGTTCTTCAAATCCTGCCTGTTGACTTATTGCAACAGCAGGAAAAAGAGCCAAAAAGCATTGTGACTCAGTCACTAGTTGTGGAAAATGATTATAATATTTGCACACCTTAACTGAAACGCTGCCATATACACCAACAGAGGTTGGTGTGCCACATAAGAAATTATTAGCATCGATGTTCTGTGAGTTTTCAAAGGGCAAGTCAAGCGTAGTTGTAAAACTTCAAGTCCTTCCCCCAAAACCACTCCACGGCCGGTGGGCTGCTGCAGCCTCTTCTCAAACTAGGGCGGCTCTTCCTGATGAATTGAGGTGAAGGCCAAGCTATGGGGAGAGTTTGTTCCTGGAGGGCTGTGCTTCCCCCCATGCTCTCAACGTGTGAGCTATGTGTGGAATGCTGCAAAATAAGGCAGCCTAACATATTTAAACCCATATTTTATTTCTCGTATAAATGTTTACTTCTCAGCATGGCCTTAAAACAAACAAAACCGGGATCTAGTAGGTGCTCAATCATGTTCTCTGGCTCCTGATGACTTCAGTGCAGGACTCCTTTGGTTGGTGAGTCTGTATCAATGGTTCTCAAACTTCTTTCTCCCATGGTTCACTTTGATACTTCGAGACTATGTAGGAAACTATTTGTTCTACATTTTAGAACACACACCCGCTTCCGTTTATGGATTAAACATCAAGGGTATGGGTGGGTACCAGCATCACTGTCAAAACCAGGGGACTTACTTGGAAAATCACAGTCTCACCCTCCATTGTAATGAGAGAATCAATAATGTGTCAGTTCAAGTACAGATATTCAAGACTTTCCACAAACCATCTGAATGGAGCCACAGGACCACCATGGTCCACAAACCAGCGTTTGAAAACCTCTGTGTTCTACATGAAAAACGCCACGAAAAAAGCATTCACACAAATGACACACAGAGGTTATTAAGAAATGTCCTGTTTACTAATCTGAAAAGTGTTATACCCCACCCTTAAGAAGCACTCAGTAGTGTTCATCCCTTCTTAAACTCCACCTTCAGTGAGTTGTTAAAAAGGGAGAGGCTGTCAACAGTGTGCAGTCTAGATTCTGAAACTTAGATCTGGGCCTCCATGAGAGATGTGTGGGTTCTAGACCGCGCCCGACTTGAGCTCTGGGCACAGACCCTGCAAAAGCCGCCGTTTCATTCATGTCCTTCAGAAGAAATGTCTGCCACTCAGCTGAGCATAAGAGGGCACAAGCAGTGCAGGGAAAAGGGAAGAGTCAATGCTGAAGTTATATTTAATACCCAACTACCCCAACCCACAGATGGCCATACGCAGCTGCAGGGAGTACCGCAGGAATCTCCACTCTTACCCTACAATAGAGACTATTATTGAAGGGTTTGCAAGGTCCTTGGACGTACAGTGAATTCAGAATGGGAACTAAAGTTCAAGGCATTTGGGAAATATTGGTTCAAGACTCTGTATGAGCCACATAAGGGGCTGATTACTCTCTTAAGGTGGGTCATACTACTGTTCCATGCAGCCCAGCGGTCTCCTCTGACTAGCAGTGGCCCTCCAAGATATCAGACTGGGGTCTCTCTTAACCCTGCCGCTACCTGACTCTTCTAAGTGGAGATACCAGGGCTTGATCCAGGGATCCTCTGCTTGCACAGCGCATACACACACACACAACCACTGAGCTATGGGGCCTGACTGGATTACAAAATCTTTCTGCCATCTTGAAGAAGGGTTCTCAAAGTTGAAAAAAAGTTGAAACCACTTGAATAACCTGATTGGCAGACCTGCAAACTTCAGAACAAATAAAAGTGGTTTTTATTTACACTATGTTGTAAATATGATTGCAACTGCAGACTTGTCAACCCTGTCTCGGTTGCTGTTTCCTGTACAGAATGACAAAAGTGTCCATTAGGGAGAATAATGACAGCCCCAGAGCATTAAAAAAAATGGTTCGAAATTAGTGTGACATCCATCAGAACACTTAGCCTTTAAATGCCTTCATTATTTATGGAAGAGAACTGTAATAGCTTGAACACAATGCCTTTTAGACAAGGTTGGTTAAAACTCCACAAGAGGTTACATCATCCATATGTTAAGGGCGGGCAGCAGAGAGGTTGGAAGTATCAAAGTAAACTATTTATCCAGCAGCAGAGCTGGCTGGTCCAAGGCAAAGGGGAAAGAGAAAAGAAGCTTTGAATGGTGCTCATGTCTCCAGAGAACTTGGCTTTACTGAATAAATGCCTAACCAGGGAACAGGGGGCTGAAATGGAGAGAGAACACTTGTGAAGTCATTCATGCTTTTATGAAATTTTATTTTCAAATTTTCATGAGCCAAAAATGAATTCTGAATCCCAGCTATCTCGGCACACCCACGGTAACAACAGATCCATCTATTTATTTATCTATCTACAGTATGATCGCTTGTCTGAACGAATGGTTCTTAACCATTACTGGAAGGATGAGAATCGGCATGTTAAAATCAGGAGTTTGGTAATCAAGTCATATAATCTGTCTTGTGAAGTTAAAATATTCCATTCACTATTAAAAGCAAACACACATTTAAAAAACAACAAAATAATAGTACCAAACTACCCCTGGCATCACCCATTTCGTCTGATTTCCAGAAGTGTTTTTGCAATTCTCATCGCCTGGCTGGTAAAGTTACCGACATAAACCAAGAGGGAATTTACAAAGGTTAATACTGTGATCATTCATGAGTGTTAACACTAACCCTTTTTTGGCCTCTGATGAATACCATAGAGAAAAGGACAATAAAAAGTGCACCCAAGTTTTAAAAGAGACCAAAATTCAGCAATAGAAAGTAACAGGCAATCAATCAATGATGCACTTATTTTAATCAATTCTGCATGTGCCTTTTTGACACAGGAGCTTCCTTTCTCCTACTGAAAGGGAGAGAGACAGGAAGCACATGCGCCTGCCTCCCTCTCACGCTTTATACCAGACCTCTGGCTTTTGCACTTCTTTTCCCCATCCGCACCCAAAGAGGTGTGGACCGTGACATCATGCAAAAATCATGATGGCCCGCTTGAACGTGTTAAGAGGCAAGGAGGAGAAGGTGTCATCTCCTTCCCGCTGCACAACATATAACTGCCTTGCATCAAGCCAGGACCAACGGCTTGCATTGCAAAAGTAACTCACCCTAAGATGAAAACTGTATGCTATATAGCAAGGGTAGCTAAATTCTTTTGTGTGTGTGCGCCATATTCACCCTCCAAGAGCGATATATTAGTAGTGCATGTGGACGACCTACTTTTTCTTAAACAAAAATATTCCCAAATGTATAAAAAAATTGTCCAGCAGCACCTTAGAGACCAACTAAGTTTGTCCTGGGTATAAACTTTCGTGTATCTGAAGAAGTGTGCATGCACACGAAAGGTTATACCAAGAACAAACTTAGTAGTCTCTAAGGTGCTACTGGACAATTTTTTTTGTTTTTTAATATATTTCGACTGCGTCAGACCAACACGGCTACCTACCTGAATCTAAAAATATTTCCAGTCTCTGAAGGAGTAGACACAGAAGAACCAGGAGGCTGTTGTCTCATACTTGATGCCCATGTTGGATTGCCAACACCTGAGGTCCAATGTCTCCTGGTGATGCCCACTGCTGCATGTTACAGCAAGCCTACCCTAGAAGCACCCCCCCCCCAAGCCACCCCAAGAACAAAGCAAGGAGTTATCAGAGTTGCTCCTACTACTCGACTTTTCTCCAAAACCCTGTGTCCCTGGCACCCATGGCAAAACAAGGCACCCCCTTCTCCAACAATTCACCACCAGGTTCTCAACTGCTCACACGACTCAACCCCTCTGCCTGCTGAAAGCAACACAGTTTTTAGCATTTAGAACACTCAGTTTAGTTAACTGTGCATACCTTGTAAATGGGTTCTTCAAATTTACACGAAGAGCCATTTTATTCTACAAGAAGCACTTTGTGATGGAATAAATTATTCCAGAACACTTATTTCAGAGGGACTGCAATCAGAGCTAGTATGAAGTTCCTGAAACACATATGCGAAGGGAAACTTGCATTGAGCAAAATACCATAAACTCCCCAAGTGTCCAACTCCCACAAAAATATGTTAATTAAGTTTTCAACTCAATTACGTTTTATGGCTCAAGTAGCTCACCGTTTTCCAGCTTCGCTATAGAATCTCAGTTGCCAAACACATTCTGAAATGCTCCACAGGAGAGAAAAAAATTAAACTAATAAGAGCCTGCTTTGTCCCAATACAATGCAGGCAGATCTATTTTTTAATTTGGAAGGCAATCAAAATAAGGTGCTGCTGCACTGCTCACTTAAGATTCTACTGGTTAAAATTCTGCATCTTATTTTAACTTTAAGAAAGCATCATAAAC